TTGTAACTCCCCTCCCCCTCCCCATCACCTGCACGCTGTTGTTTAGGGTTGGAAACTGCCTGACATCCTGTGTAGGCAGAAAATTCAAACTATGTCCTTTTTTATGGAAAAGAAAAAAATATTTTTCAACAGGACTCTCCTTTAATGCTGACAGTAGCACCACTACTGAAAAAGTCTCTTGAAAACACTAATGTTGTGATATTTTTGTCAAGATTGTGATTACAGGAATCAAATGTCCTTTCTATTGTAGTTTGATCAATGATTGGATTTGGGTTACAGGATATGATGTATGCTGGAATGTAAATCAATTCCTTCTACAAGTGAATGCAGAGGTCTTTTTTTGTCTAGCAGAATTCATGTAGTGAAAGTTGCTGTGGTAGCCCTTGTGTTTTTTCCTCACAAGCTTCTGTAGTAATTGGAGCAGGTGGATCTAAAAGTGACCCTTTTCATCCTGGCTTTTTATTTCCAGCAGAGGGTTCCACAGCACAAATTATTAGAGAGCTAAGAAAAGTGAAAGCTCTCTGCAGAGTGATTCACCTCCTCACAGGAATTGTTTTATAAGCCCTCCACATTCCTTGGCAACTGGTATTTCTGGACTGGAATTTTTCTAAGGAATTAAGCATGGAATCTTATCCTTGCTGTATCGTCTCACAGTGATCAGACATGTTGGTAGATGTTCCTCCGTTAGCTTTGAAATGTAATATGAAATGGCCACATTATACCCTTTCCAACTATTAAGCTGCCCAGAGTCATTTGCTACAAGATAGGTGGGAAATAAATTCAATAAATAAATAAATAAATAATCTTTGCAATAAATCTTCTTGGAAGTTACATCTCACCAGTGCTGAGCTGGCTTGTCAAGCTTGTTCAGCAATTGTTGAAAAAGGAATTGTCGTGTAATTACTTATTTTAATAGACCAATTTTCCTTTCAGTGGCCATGATATATAATATAGCAGCTGTTACATAGGTGTGCCATGGTTTACCCATTACTGCTGCATTCTGGACCATCTGAAGCTTCCAAATGCTCTTGAAGGACAGCACCATATAGAGCACATTGCAATAGTCTAATATTGAGCTAAGGCATGAGTGAACATAAGCAGTGCCTCCTAATCTAGGAATGGGTGCAATTGGCATATAAGATGTATTTGTGTATTAATTCTTCTGGTTGTGATTTTTACCTGTACTTCAGTCAGGAATCAAAAATCCAGAAGACCCCAAATAGCACTGAAGTTTTATTGGTTGGAATATTAACCCATCCAGAACTGAGAATGGAAAATATGCAGATTCAAGGGGCCTTAAGTCCTGTACCCAGTCAGTCCTGCTAGGGTTAAGCCAAAGCCTATTCTTCTGCATCTAGCCCCCCCCCCAAACATTGGGAAAGGACCTTGATAGTATTGTTTGCTTGGCCTGAAGCAGCAATGTTTAATTAAGGATCATCAGTATACTTCATCCCATGCTGCAAGAAGACTGCTTAGGTGACTATCTAGGTTGGCCAATTTTTATGATTAATTGTGTAACAATCTGACATACCCAACAAAATCAAAACTTCTTGGGGATGATCCAAAAGACTGATATGGGTGAACTTTTAACATATACTTAACATATAGCATGTCCCATTTAAAGTCCTGTTGCATAAAGCAGCTTGACTTTGGCTGGACTTTGCATCTTGTAGTTAGCACTTGATACACTGTTGGTTTGTTAAACACATCAGATATGAAATTTTCCCATGCTTTCATCTAAAATAAATCAGAACTGGTAACATGAACAAAAGGGCCTTTTATTATTGCACGTAATCCAGACGAACAGCAAATAAAAGGTCCTGGATAGCATTGCACAAATTATCATAACTTTTGTTTATTTTTAAAACATGTGATTTCAAAAGGTATGTTTCTGGTGACGATACATCTGTCATTTTGAAAGCCCTGAACATTTTAAGAGTATCAAACTATGTTTGAAGGCATGCAAATTGAGGTAAACCCGCTCCTGCTCACCCTAGGAAGCAAAACTCCACAAGGCTTGTGCACACATTAGTCCCAATCCAGAAGTTCTTTGGGAGAGGTAAGAAGTCCTGTAGGACCTTTCCATTCATCTTAAAAGAGGCCTCTTGTGCATGAATGAGAAAAACTCACACCTTCAGGGACTTCCAGATGAGGCTCTGGATTTTTTGTGTCATCTTGTTCAAACTGGTATTTGGAACAAGGAATAAAGATCCTTTGAACAATATTAAAAGTCAGGACTGTAGGAAGAACAGGCATTATTTGAGACCCAAAATGCCATATGTGATTCATTCTCCCTCTTTTGAATTACTCACATTTATTTCTTTGATGAAGGCTTGTCCTTATTTTAATGTAAACAAAGCAGTTGCTAGCGAATCAGGGGATACCAATGTATGCACAAGCACCAAGAAGCTCCTTCTCTTGTATATAAACATACATGGCAAGGACAGTCAAAAATGTTTTGCACTCCAAACGGGAGCCTGAGCATTTTGTGCTGTAGTCATCAGCCATATTATATTTGAAAAGGACAAATTTCAAAATCAGTTTGCAATTTGGCATGGAGATCCAGCTGTCTAAAGTAAAATAATTTAAAAAACAACAGCCTCTGGATGGATAGTCTGTGGATCCTGCTCTATACAGTATATGCCACAGACTGCAAATGTATTTACTTTATCCTTGTCATTATATTGCAGAGAACAAACTATAAGAAAGAAAATAACCACACCGTATTTCTGCAAAAGAGAATTCAGAGGTGGATGGGAATAACCCTAACATTTTTCAAAAAGACTCAGTTTTGTGCTTCACGATAAATAAAGGGCATTGACATCTCTCAAAGAAAATCACATTCCCTGTTGTAAAGCTGCTGGCATACTGAACTGTACACCTAGCAAGCCAGGAAAGAGGCTGTCAGGTTTCAAAAGCAAATAACAGCCTGGTTATATTTAAGGGAATATATTTAGAAGAAAAGGAAATGTAACAATAAAAGCCTCAAAACCGCCTATATTGCTATTATTTCATGTTTGAAGGACAAGATAATCTTGCACAATTTTCTGAGCGGTGTTGCCATACCTCATTCGTTGGTAGAAATCTTGTTTTTCTCCTCCTTCAACGCAAAATATGTATTAAACAAGCTGTAAGGAACAGCACTCTTGTCTTCCAAATTCATTTTCAGCAATTCATGAGTTGTAAGTCATCTGTTTTAAAAACACGGGCCCTCTGTGTACCCACTGCACTTAAAAGCCTATCACCTTTTGGCACCTACAATTACAGTCTTTTATACAGTAACCTATTAATTTTCCTCTCTATTTTACTTGGGCACATTTAACCCAGTGCTGCAATTCCAAGGACTGTCACTATATATAACAAATCATAAGTCAGTTTTAAAGAAGGCACTTTTTAAAAAGCTTTGGAAACTGACACAAAAATCCTTGTTCCCTCCCCCTCAGAGAAAGTTGGGAAAGGGAACATCCACACACTTTAAAGACAGATTCACATATTGAAATTTCAATGACAAACTATTGTGCATCTGAATAATGACCGAAAAGGACAGAGTGTAAAATGGATCTTGCCACAGGTCTAATTTTAGGATGGGAAAGGGATAAACAAAGCCAGCAACAAAAATACTCAAGGCACTGTATAATTATTAAATGAGCACAGATTTCATCTACCAACATTTATAGCAAACCACATTAAAATGCAGCCTATAGTTAGTAAGCTAAATAAGTTTCATGGTATTTAATTGCTGCTAATCAGCATGGCAAAAATAATTGCTTACAGTAAGACCAGATTTCAGCATCTGTGCACTGAAATCCATAAAAGGTAGGATTTATTTTCATTGTTTTTTAAACTGTGGCTTTTCTTATGTCCTAGAATTGGATCTGCTATTCAGGAAAAAACTTCACTCATTTTAGAAGATAGACCTTAAATAGAATTAGGAAGAGGTGAAACCACTGATTTTTCCTAACACTGGATTCATTTTGGTTTGTATGGGGAAACTATACCCAGAATTAATTAGGGGACATACTGCAAATTGATTGTCAAGAAGATTGCTTGCCCATATTTCACTCTTGTGCCACATCTCCATCCACTCCTTTCTGGATCCTTGGCTTTGCTGGCTGATGCTCCATTTGTGCTGCTAGTTCTATGATGTGTGCAGTTTATCCTGGAAGCTTTGCAAAACTTGTGGTTGGGAGAGTCTTCTTTTCTTTAAAGCCTCCAACTTCTTTGGTGAACTTCTTTCAAGCTTTTGCTTTGAGAGGATATTCAATTGGGCTAATTTCCAAAGAAAATAGCTCCAAGTATGACTGACAAAAACAACCATTTAGGCTTATACACAATATAGACAAGTTGGTATAGCAGCTCCTCAGAGTCTCTCAACTGCTACTGGCCCAGGACAAGTGCTAATGAAGGAGAACATCTAAATGGAAACGTTTAGAAGCAAAGAAAGAGCTACCAGCCTGGTCCTCTCCCACCACTGCCAGCTAGCCAAATTAAAACAAAGCTGTGTAACGTATGAATAAAGAAGTGTGGGGAACGATACACCAAAGGCATAAAAGAAGCTGCAAAAGCCCGCATGTAACTTGCTAGACATTTAGATATTTAAATAGATCCAACTGAAGTAGTTCTTCATTATAAGATGCTTTGCTCCACTTCTATATTAGCTAAGAAAGTGGGTGAAAAGTTCTTCATATCCAAATCCTAAACTCAATTCAAGGTTGAAAAAGTTTGAGAAGAAATAAATGTGTTGCTTTGCTAGTGGAGAGAAGCATCAAATTGGACAGTGGGGGAAAGGGAAAAACCGAATGCCCAAACACCTTGGCTCTCCTAATTGAGCTAAAAGAACAAAAAGCTACAGCTTCTAGAATGCAGAATATATGATTGGGGAGAGAGGGAGGTGTCCTTTACAAGACAGGAAGACGTTTTAAGTTCTAGTTTCTAAACCTTTCTTACTGGCTCTACCTTTTTTGACTAAGACCATATTACTGATTTTAGCTAACTATTTTTTTTTCATGGGACTTGGATAATTGCTCAAAATACAATAAGGGGCTTGCAATAAATGCCCTCCACCCACCCCCAGCGACCTTCAGCACATTCTCAGAGTTAATCATGATTCAGAGCTGCAGCACAATTTAGAAATACGGGAATCGGAAGATTTGTACCACCAAGTCTGATGTTTTCACAGTGAAATTCAAAGAAAAGACTTTTTAGTTTGTGTTTCCATTCCACAATTAAGTTGCGTCCTTGTTTCTTCAACAAGTGGCAGTGCAGTTCATCAAAATTATAAATCTTCAAGCAACACAGACTCAAAACAAAAGGAAGAATAAAAGGAGTTGTAAAATTCGAGATCTCTTCCTAGAACCATTGGAGCAAAATAGTTTGCCAGAAGCATTGCATAAAAGTTCGTGACCACAGTACCCTCCCTGGGTGCTTCTGTGCTTCTTCCTTTTAACATAGCTCTGAATGGCTGATGTTATCTCTGATCAGGATTGTTGTTTGGACCAGCATAAACTTCTGTGAAGATATAAATTTTTTAAAAATTAGGAAAGTAACCGAATTCATAATTTTTTTAAAAAGTTCAACATCTGTGATACTCCCCTAGGAAAATGTTAACTGGAGAAAGTTCCATAAGGATGAAAAACTAATAGCTAATATTCTGGTTTATTATCTCTGCATTTAAACAAACCCTATCACTGGAAAATCAACAATGTTGTTCCTATTGCATTCCCCATGCTTGTCTTTTATTTCCCACATTCTTACTTATTTTGGCCTGGTAAATAATTTGATGGTATCAGCAGCCATCCTGTGGTAGAAAATAGAATAGATCATGTACAGTAAAAAACAGAAGACTCTGTCAGTAGTTACTCTGCAGTTTAAAAAATGCAATGTTTGTATGACTCCCATACCTAATCCACAGAATTAATTTGCCTGAACAACACACACTGAATAGGAGTTGTTGGGGAGAAGCTCTCAGCGAGGGGAAGACCACACCGATATATGAATTAGCTTTTATCTTTCCAATGTTTCTCTCTTCTCTCATTTATCTTTATTTCCATTTAATTTATTAAAAAAAACCACAATGATCTGAAGACAATTCCATCAGGTTCAGTTAGAATATTGTTAAAAACAAACACCCCACTCTCCCTCTCTGACTGAAGTCAAATGGTACAAAATGTGGCCAACTTTTCTTTTTGACTTTTCCTATCAAATTCTGTACCAGTCTCCATAGACCAGGGGTAGGCAACCTTGGCTCTTTTATGACTGGTGGACTTCAACTCCCAGAATTCCTGAGCCAGCCATGCCTACCCCTGCCATAGACAGACACAATGATCATAGGAGTCAGGTATGTGGAGGAAGAATCAGTCAATGGTGGAGGCCAAGAGAGGAGGTGATAAAGGGGAAAGACGAAAAAAGAGGGCATGCAAAACAAAAGTGAGAAAAGGAACAGAGAGTGGAAAAGAAGAAAAATATGAAGGTGAAGGAGAATTTAAAAATGAAAGTTATCACGGGAGGACAGAAGGTAATACAGTATAAAGAACGATAGAGAGGTAATATGCAGAGAAATTAAAATGGATGAAGAGGGCTCAAATGGAGTAATTAATAGATCTTGGAGAAGAGAACTGAGATAATTATTTCTGCTTTAATTTGCTGGTTTTGTTGTATTTTAACTGGAATTTTATCTCATTTTTATTATTGTTGTTATGTATAGCTTTTATATATTTTAAAAGTCTATGTTGTGAACCAACTAGAATTACTATAATTATGACACCTGTTTTTTTGCATCCAACAAATGTTCTAAATTTAGAGAAAATGCACAAAACAGAGCTCTGTGCCATTTAAGAATTATTTTAAGCCCCAGCCATTGTTTTGACACATAACGAGATGATCCAGGCTTTGAGTTTAAAAAATGACTGGTGGGAAGTATCAGTGAATATTCTTATTGGAAACTATTCTCATTGAACTGAATGGAGGTTGAAGTGGAATAAACATAAGATACTTGTACTGCATAAATTCTTTTCTTTGCAATGCTTTTTATAACAATAAATATAACAATTAAAAAATAAGCCACCCAGAATGACTTGACAATGAGATGGGTGGCATATAAGTTTAATAAACAAACAAACAAATAATAAACAAATTAAATAAGAAATAAGAGTTCTGCCCAGAATAAGTAACTAAATAGCAAATGTAATCATGTATAAAAGACTGCTTTAGCTATACCAGTCATAGGAAGGAAGGGCAATAAAAAATATTTCACCTTAAATCAAAGCAAGGGTTTTGTATTTTAAGAGCCCCCCATCATATAACCAACCTTGGGCAGGTCCCAATAAGAGTTGTCACTCTTCTTTATTTATTAAACAAATTTATATGATTGCTCAATTCACATGTGGTGATTTGGGCAGCTTACAACATTAAAAATCCACAAGACTCCACTACCCCACCACCATTACCATCCCAGTAATCCCCTAAAATCTCTAACCTCCACCCCACCCAAGGGACTCTTACCTTGTTTCAGTATCTCATCATGTCAGAAAATGTACAAATAAGATAGACAGGCCAATGTTCAATAAAATGACCATGCAGATGATTATTGTGTTAGGTCCCTAAGAGGGAAAAATTCAAGAGCATTATATTAAATATCTATTATGGTTTAAAACAAAGTCTTAGATTGAAGATATCCTCAAAATATGAAACAATCATAATAGAAAATAGACTATCCATCTATATGCACAATGATCCTGCTGAATTATAACCTCCAAGCCTTGGAAGTACATCCAGTTGTGAGAGGTGCTGGGAGTTATAGTTCACCAACATTTAGAGCAACACATACATTAGATTTTATAAGAATAAGAACCTTGGGCTTACATAATAACCCTTCCTCTAGAGCAGCAAGGATTACTTTTAATTTCAATTTTATGTTAACTGTAACTTTTAATGATAATAGAACCACAGATTATGAAGATTACTGCTTTTCACTATTAGACATACAAACCACACTCCATATTGTATGTTCATTTTTTGCACATCTAAAATAAAAGTAGAAGCAATGGATCATGCAATTCTAGAATACTGGGAAGGATGGGAAACCTCTCCAAATTCCAGAGATATAAGTCAGAGTATAAAGCAGGAAGAGAGGCAGTTTGGTGTAATGATTGGCGCCAAGTTAGAATCTGGGAGGCTGTGAGTTCTAGTCCTGCTTTAGACACAAAGCCGGTTGGGAATCTGTGGACCAGTCCCTCTCTCTCAGCTCTATGGAGGAAGCAATCGCAAACGACTTCTGAAATCTTGGCAAAAAAACCTGCAGGGATTTGTCCAGGGAGTTGCCAGGAATTAAGATTGACTTGAAGGACACCCCTCTCTCCACCCTCCCCCCCGCAAAAAAAGAGGAATTAAGAAAGGATATCTTCAAAGAAGGAAATGGCAAGTGACTTCCAAGAGCACTGCATGGACAGATCTAAGAAACTGGCTGGAATTAAACTTGATTCAAAGGAAATTTTATACTCCTTCTGGCCATACACAGAAGAGTAGCATATTTTAGACTATTCATTTATCTACCAATTAGATAATGAACATGTCGTTTGACTAGTGAAATCTGTGTTTTGCTTTATTTTAAACTGCTACCTACCACTTCAGACTCCTCTCTGGTGGATTTATTAATACATGTTCTGAACTGGAACATATTTAATTTAGTCTAAATAGCCTGGGGAGTTTTTGTCCCCATGTTGCTTACCTGGATTTTAAGGGAAAAATCGGTGTAATGTATGCTTAAGTTGTTGGACGTAAGTTGCTACATAAACCTATTGGGCAATACTCAATACTTGATCAATACCTCCTAGCCTAAGTTCTCCTACTTGATGGGATATGTTTGGAAGAAGGAGCATTATGAGCTCCTGAAGGAACAGCAGGATATACATCTAAATAACCATCATCATCCTCTTCATTGACACAACTAGTAAATTTGAACCTGCAAAGATTTTCATAGGCAAATTTTCCAGCAAATCATAAATATAGTACTTCGGATACTTTTTTCCCCTAGAAATTAGATTTTGAGCAGGAATTTGTTGTTGTGTAATTGTTATTAAACATCATCTTATGCTCATATATACAGTAACCCAACAGTATAAAACAGCTGTAAATTTTTGCAACTTCCTTTTAAGAAAACTAAATTTTGCACCTGTCTAGTACTTAGGATTTTCTTAGAACTTACAGTATTTATTACCAAACAGTATCTAATGAGAATAACCTCTTTAAGATAAAGTGCTAATGGCTCCATTCTCAGTTGTACTAGTTTCATAAAACTCAAGTCATACTGAAATATTGGACTTTTGAAAAAAATGTTTTACCAAGATCAACTTATCAATTTTTTACATAGGCAAGATGGGTGGCATACAGGTTAATAAATAAATAAAGTGCAGTTTTCCAAAGAAGAAGTACAAAATGTTCATGCACTAACCTATTTTCCCACAAACCACAAGTGGAAAATTTAGAAAATGGCTAACATATTATTGCTTCTCTCTCCCTAATCACATCTGGTAAATGAACAACTATCCCTGCTATGAAGACAAAACTAATTTACCTCTTCTTGTTCTACCACCTCTTTTGTGGCTGCTTCTGGTGGAGAAACTTTTTTCACCACAGCCTTGGGCTCAGTTTTAGCTACTATCTTGACTTCAGGCTTAGTTTCACTCACAGCTTCTACTTTCTCTTCTACTTTAGGCTCAGGTGGATGTTGTTTGGGCTCAAGCTTAGATTCCGTCTTGATTATTTTTTTCTCTTTATGACCTGGTTCATGTTGGGTGACAGGTGTACTTTCCTTCTTTTCTGGCTCTAATTTGTGATCCACTGCTTTCACATCAGCTTCCGGCTGTGGGGACCTTGACTTGGTAGGAAACGTGGAGTCTGAGAATGGGTCTTCTTCATTATCCATTGGGGGAGTAACTGGAGAGGTCCGCACAGCATAACTGTGATAGCCTTCAAATAATTTAATTTCACCTCCTTTCTGTATCCTTTCAAGAGGCTTGATCTCCATCCTATCGGTAGCAATCTTCATATGGCTGGGACGACTGGCGCTATGAGAAGCAGGTCTGATGTTACTTCCTGACTTCTCCACTGGTGCCAGTGGAGCACTAGAAGATGTATTGGGTCTACTTCCTGTATAATTCCCATTCTTGCTATGATCTCCATTCCAGTTCCCAGGGCTGAGAAAGCCATCTTTCTGTGAACCCTGCTTAGCACGCTTGGCCTCAGGTGGTGTGCCCGATGGTGATGGAGTTGGAGCTGGACTCTCCTTAGGTTTCATGAACTCCTGCTCATCAGCTTGAGGACTTTCTGGAGGTGTTGCTGGAGATGTCTCTTCAACAGGGGGCGTTTCTTCTATATGCTCAACATTTTCCTCATTTTCCATGAGTTCCTGGAGTAGCCTCCTCTTCAGATATTCAGGGCCTAAGAAGGAAAAGAAATTCCAAGCATTATCAAAAGGTCATTTAATATCTCCCACGCTTGTAAGTTTGTGGCTGGTAGTTAGTCAAGCTTAGCCTTGCCACCTCTAGATCTATGAATGGGAAACTCATCCCATCATGAAGTGGGTTAATTAAAGGAAGGCTGACTCATCATTTTATCATGCTGTGCCAAGGAGAAATAGGGTAGATTAAGTCAACCTGCTGTCATTTAATGAGACATTGTTTAAATTATTTTTATATCACTAACTTCATATAGCTTCCCGGAGACCTGCAACCAATATAAAAACCACACAATCACAAGAAACAATCCCATCTCTAGAGGAAAAAAACCTGGTAATGAAAATGACTTTTTCATTTAACTAAGAATCCTGTAACCTGTAACCCTGTCTAAACAAACAAACAAACAAACAAACAAACATTTTCAATAATCCAATGTTCTATGGAAGAGCACAGTCTCTATTACTCTCACACCCAACACTCCTCTCCTCCCCCCCAGCAAAAGAAAACAAATTTTAAAAACCCACAGCACACCAGAGGAACACTATGTGTGCTGGAAAGAGGGAAAGAAACTTATGAGCTTTTGTTTTTAACAAGAAGATGAAATCCATTGAAAAGTAAGACTCTGTTCCCTAATCTCTACTCAGCAAGCAATTGGTATGCCAGAATCTCAGAATCAAGTCTCTATTAAATTTATTGTTACAATGACTGCTTGGTAGTGGAGTACCACCCTTTATTAGAACTCTTTCCATTCCATTTCCTTATAGAAAATACTAGAAAAGCAGAAGCCTAATGCTGCTGCCATCTAATGATCATCCAGGATTTACAGCCCAGATATGGTAGCCCTACTAGTAAAGCTCTGCCTAGCTGTTTATCTGCACATAGAGATATATCACTTGTACATCTTCTCAGGGATATAACTTCTATATAAAGACTGGATGGGAAAAAGAAAAAGAGATTTGTCCTTAATGTAAAGTGAGCTCTCAGACGGGCGCATTGCTTACTAATAAGATCATCGACCTGTGACATCAAGATCTTGTTGGAAGCACTAGAGAAGTTGACCTGACTTAGTTAAAGAAGGTGACTTCTGGGTTCAGGTTGCACTCTGTCTTCATCTCATTGCATGCCCTGTATCATTGCCACGGGTTACATTATTATTTATAGGCTAGTCAAAATCAGTCTGGTTTTCTCTACTACTCCTATGGCCTTCCCCCACAACTTTGAACATGCTTTTAATGTGAACCAAATAATTAGTTTTAATCAGCAAGATAAAATTTATGACTATAACTAAGATAGCAGGAAGCTTCTTGTCTTAAACCAAGCTCAGAAAATCTTCACAGTTAACTTTTAAATTTACAAATGTAAATTCTACACCAGTTCAATCATCTTTTATGCGTGCATTTCCTCCAACATTCAGATACTCTTAAGTAACATTTATAACTTGCAGAGTTAATGTATCAGAGATTGAATAATAGTTTTACAACTGTTTTATAATTTACATCTAAATTGCTTTCAGTTTTATAAATTACAGCTGAATATGAATTACAATAAATGTTTCCTATCCTAGTTCAGAATGTCATAGATTTTATAAAATCCCTGCATAAACTGGTATAAATAACAGAAAATGTAGTTTTTGTTTGGATACAATATCTTCCCCTGAAATTCCTCTTCAATTATAATAGTATACAGTATATTTTATTTATGTCAATAAATAAGTACTATCAATTGAAAACTTTAGAACAGAATAGTTGCATTTGGAGAATCTTTTCTCATCTATTTAAACCAAGATATAAACAATCAAATATATTAAAACTTCAAACAATGCTTTAAATACCCTATATAGTTAGATTGGAACCATTTAGGCATAACCAGATAAAACCTGAATCTATGGTTAATATATCCCATTTTTATTTTTCAATTCATATAAAGAAAGGACTAGAGTGCATCCAAGATTCGTTGTCTTAATAAGTTGATACATGATTGCCTGAATGTGGCCAAACCTGTAATTTTGCTCATTTGTATGAAGATAATTTATCTATCAGTCTGGCCCGCTGAAATTACACAGCAAACACTATTGTTATATAAATGTTGCACTATTATATCCTTTTTAAAAACAATACAGCTGTTACCAAAAAAGAAAACAGAATGTAAGTACAAAAAATCAAAAGACAAAAGTTAAAAAATAATATATTATAACTGCATCTCCACCCCTCCCCCAAGTTTGCAATAGTGGCTAAGGAACCTACATTCTTTCCCACTACTTGAAAAAAAACCCAGAGTTAATTATTATTGCCTGTCTTCTCAATGCATTAAGGGCAACACTTTTAGATTACGCTCCAATTAAAAATAGGAAGGAAGGAAGGAAGGAAGGAAGGAAGGAAGGAAGGAAGGAAGGAAGGAAGGAAGGAAGGAAGGAAGGAAGGAAGGAAAGTTTCTTTCATACAATATTGTTCTACTACTTGCTAAATCTTTTCCACTTTTCTACTATTGTTTCAGAGAAAAAGATATGTTCCTCTTCTCCAATAGAAGAGCTCATAATTTTTTCCCCAAGAGGAATAATGACTAGACACTGTCATAAGTTTGAATTATTATTATTTATTAATAATAATTAATAATAATTAAGTTTATTATGGCTGCCTATTCAAGTAGAGTCTGGTAGTCTTACAAAATCCAAAGAGGTAGATTTTTAACTGTAAAAACAGTTAAAAACATAAACAACCTAGACAACCCAGACTAAAAATAGCCACAACAGTAACAATAAACCATGACAGGGGCACCACCGACATACCTAGACCTGGGACCAGACCATATCTTAAGGGTTTTCTGGAACCCAAGGTAGTGGGTGCCATTCATACCTCTAAGGAGATCTTGTTCAAGAGGGTGGGGATTGAGCCATCTGAAGGCAGATGTCCTTGGTCACACAAATGGCAGCATTTAATAGAGGGGACCTGGAGCATATCCACTCTGCCAAAAATGCACCAGGTAGGCAGATGATAGGCAAATGTTAACAAGGCTACTATTTTCTTATGTATGGTGGGAATAACCACACTACACAATGTCTACAGCAGCCAGCACTAGCATTCAAAATCACAGTATAATTTTAATCAGGTATAAGACAACCTGTAATCCTTGGGTCACCATTTCAGAAATATTTCCTTACCTAAACAGAAAAACAGAATGATCACAGGCAGTCAAAAAAAAAAACAAAACAAACCAGAGTGAGAGTGACTTTGAGCTTCTTGTTGGCTTCCCCATTGAGTTTCCTTGTGGGAAGCTGGCAATGAGCATCAGAAATCTCCCTCTCTCCCTATTGTCTCCCTTCCCTTCCCAGCAAGCAGGTATGTGGCTGCTGCTGGATGGGGGAGGGAGGAATTGTGCAAATGGAAACTGTCAAGGAACAATGAAATTAAGAATCAGAATTACATGACTGCAGCAGCATGGTAATGACGCTGAAGCAGCAACAGCCCAGCAGTGCTGAAGCAGCCACAACTTTCCCCAATTTCATTCCCTTGATAGTAATGGATCCAGACAATCTGTAAGTTAAATCATTTGAGATACTTTGGCTCTGAAAACGTTTTACCCTATAATGCACCATTTTACCCAGTTAACAATTGTACAACATTTTAGTAGCAAATAGATGATTTTTTTTAAAAAAAATGCAATGATTTTGTTTAATAGCAAAAATCTTAATAGTCCCTCAGTCAGCTACACAACTCAACTAACTACCTTCCATAACCTATCATGTGCACACTGCTTAATATATGAGGGAGCTCATATGTTTTAAACTGTGTCATTTATTTAAAGAAAACATTATTAAGATTTCTGAGCATAGCTGTAGGAAACAGAATTGCTTTTTGCCTTCCCAAAAGGCAAAATCTGAGAATCTAAAACAATTCAGACTCCTATGGTAGTAACAAATTCAAACATTTGGAACATGAACAAGCAAATCTCTTCCAAAAATGGATTCTGTTAGCGAGCAGATATTGTTGCATCTCTTCTTTATGTGTATACATATAAAATATTAGGTATGTGGGTCAGCTGCTCCTGCTACTTTATCAAGAAGAATGAGTTTGAGAAATGATGAAGAATTTGCCTCCCAGATTTACTAGAAATGAAAAAGGGTTGCCTTCGTCAAGTAGTTTAATGACTATGCATCTGGATTCCGTGGCAGCAATCGCTGCTTATCTTTCTGAAAAATTCTGCTGAATCAAAGGGAGTATTTTCTGGAAGTCAAGATCTATTTGGCTTAGCCTGTACTGTGACAGGAAAGGTCACTGAGGTTAACTGATGCAATTAGGGAAACCAGAATGTAGAATTTTTCTGGGATATATCTGAGCTTCTGCAAATATATCCCTGTATCCAGGAAATTGCAAATCAGAACCTTCCATTATGGAGTGGAACAATTCCCTATGCATATCAAGCTAACATCTTAAGAAAAATTCAACATAGCCTTCTTTTTAGTATGTTGGAGAGAAAATAGGCATAATAATGAAAGTTCTAAAATGCAGGCCTGCCTCCATCTTTGTGTAACCTAAACTGAGTTAAATATCCTGCTTTAAAATGTCAGAAACAAAAAGATCATTGAAATATTTCTCCAACACACACACACAAACACACACACACACACACACACACATATTGCAATAATACTCTTCTGCAGCTACTATTCTTTCATTGTCTTACTGCCCCCAAACCCATCCTTTAAATTCTCCATGAAAAATGGTGGTCTCTGCTGGCAACAAATCATTTTCTCCACGCCCATATTCCCAGGTAGAAGCAGATGAAAAGGCAGCTGCTGCCAGCATTAGTGAGTTTGTAAATAGAGCAGTTAGCACCAGAGCTAAAAGCCCATGCCCAGAGACATAAAGCTCCAGAGTATCCAAATCATTAGACGGTATAACATCAGCACTGGCTTCATCGGAACCTACATACTGTACGCATGTTCAGTGCACATTTGAAGCTTTTTGGCTTCTTGATTACAATTTCTTAGGCAATTTTTTGTTCTTTTAAAATATAGATCTATTGCTTGCAGAAGAGAGGTGAATCTGGATTTAAAGGAGACAATTTAACATCTGGCAAGCACTCAAGAAACTATAGTTGGGCATTATGTGGGCAGATACTTCTATAGAAGCCAGAGGTCCGGTCTTTCTTGCAACCTAAGCCAAAATAGCCATGGAAGCCAGAGCTCAGTCGGTGGATAGGAGGCAGGAGCTTAAAGAGGCTGATAAAAGTTGGACAGAACCCATTCATAATTAACATCATACTGTAGATGAATCCTGATAGCAAATAGCAAATGTTGTTTTAAGGGAAGACAGAAAACATTACGTTTAAACTGGAGCAGCTAAAGGCCGATATAAATTGTCCCTGATGTGGGCTGGGGATGGAACAAAGGCATCATCATGAGGACATGTCCTTTTAGAACAGACATGTCAAACACAAGGCCCGGGGGCCGGATGTGGCCCACGAAGTGGTTTCATGTGGCCCGCGAAGCCATCCTGGAAACAGTGAGGGAACGGCCCCCGCTGCCTTGGCCCTGGCCCAGGCCAGCTGGGAGCCAATGTACAATTTTGTGGTGGCCATCTTGGCACTTGCCCCGGTGGACCATGCCTTGGCACTTGCCCCGGTCCCACCCCCTTCTGCCAGAGATCCTCAGATCTGTCCCACTCCTGCCCAGGCCCCCATAGGCACCCTTGATGCGAATGATGTAGAACTGGCCATGCCCACCCAGTAGGCCACACCCACTCCATCCACGCCCACCCAGTAGGCTGCACCACTCTGGCCACACCCACCCGGGCCCCCCAGGGCAACCGCAATGCTGATGCGGCCCTCAGTGAAATTGAGTTTGACACCCCTGTTTTAGAATGAAAAGCAAGATATCTTTGTGCTGCAGTGAGAGGGAGACAAGAATGAAACTTTACAGGTAATCCTCGACTTATGACTGCAGTTAGGACCACAGTTTCTGTTGCTAAACAAGGCAGTTAAATGAGTTGCATCCAATTACACAACTTTTTTTGGCACAGTTTTTAAGCTGCAGTTGTTAAGTGAATCATGAAGTTATTAAGTGAATCCAGTTTCCCCCTTTGACTTTGTTTGATGGGCGTCAGCCAGGAAGGTTGAAAGTTGTGATCACATGACCCCAGGATTCTGCAAACATTGTAAATGCATGCAGTTGCCAAGCGTCTGGATTTTGATCACGTGAGATGCTATGATAGTTGTAAGTGCAAGGACTGGTCATAAGACTTTTTTCAGTGCATTGTAGCTTCAAATAGTCACTAAACAAATTGAGGACTAGCTGTAATTACATTACAGAATTTGCTACTGCAATTGATGGGCACTAGATACTAATAAACAATCATAGTTTGGTATCAATAGTTAGTAATCATGATGGGTACTTCAATATTGGGGCAAGCAACTTTGGATCAGTTCCCACCAGCCTCATTCAACATGGTCAATGAGAACCTATGGGAGACGTACTCCAAAACACAAGGAAGACATTGGATGGTTTGCTCTTGTTCTGTTGTACCTTTTGAAGAAAAATACTTCTGAAGAGATATTGCTGGATGCAGGCAAGGAAGAGAAGGCAAGTAAGTACCCCCTGCAGTCTTATCTCAGCATTTGGTTACTCAGTTGTGGGAACTAGAAGAACTAGAAGAGGCTTTATCCTGACCTAGCCAGGTTGTTCTTATCATATAGTTTCATTTCAAAACTCTGCTTGGAATGCAGCCATAAATGAAAATCACAGTGTCAAGACATGAAAGATTCATATGATTAAAGCCAAAACAAAGAAAAAGGCTTTGCAGATACAGAGAACATTAGAAAACCCATGCAATATGCTTAGCACAAGTTATTGTGCATTTTTACTGGGAGTGCACCATTTGATGCTACAGGAACTAAATCCTAAATAAAGTTGCACCATATCAGGAAACAAACCTATGCATTCTGGAAAGTTTGATTTTTCTACTGCTTGGTGTTTGTACTAAAGGGGGGAAGGAAGAAGGGACATCTTAGATCTTTATTTTAGCCAGCTTGCTTTGCCTACAGACACCTGTCAGTCATAAAAAGACCCATTCAGGGCTATTTATTTCTGGATTCAAGCAGACCGTTTGGAAGCTATTTTACCAGTTGCTCAGAGTTCTCAAAATAGCCCTCAGCAGACTAACCATCTGTGGTCTTTGCAATGAAGGTTACAACATTTTCCAGCTCTGAATAAATGACAAAAATGCACACAAATCATAGCTTTCCTCTTTGATTAATCAATTAAAACAGGAGTCCCCAATCTCTGGGCCACAGCCCCCTAGTGGGCTCTGAGCTGTTTGCAACTGGGCCTGGAAACACGCATGCACATCCCCACTTGCACAAACAGTGGGCAAGCGCGTACATGTGCGCTCCGTTAGCATGAGTGGTGGGTACGTGGGCACGCTGCTCGTGCAAATGAGACTGCAAGTGCACACTTGCTGGCTGCTCGCGCAGAACCATCTCCTTTTCCTCCCCTCTACCTGTCCACAAAGCTGGAAAGGTTGGGGAACTCTGAATTAAAACATAGACCATTAATTTGTTGGTTAAATCCCAAAGGTTCCCTTATGTATGTGCCCATACTGGCTAAGACAAGGAATGTGTATCAATTTGCAAATGCAATTCATACTGTATATTTAAAATTGTTTCAGCGAAAAGGTTAAGCTTAAGCCTTAATGTTTGAAAATACTAGAAATAGACATGATATCGGGATTCAATATCTGTTTTCTTTCACTGCAAAGAAAAGTTGCTATGTTATTTTTGTGGGTATTGTTTTTCTGATAAAACTGCTTTGTAGCATTTTTCTAATAAAATATATGCTTCTTCTGACTTACAAAAGGCATTAGTCATATTCATACAGAACTATAATCACTCCCCGAGATGGCAGAGAGATGTGTTCAGAGATCACTATCTACTACTTGATTCTCCTTTAGCACGGCAGATAAAATAGTAGATTAACAGTACAAACTTGCTGCCAATTATTCAAAAGTAAACTTGGCTTTGTTCAGTAACCTTATTCCCAGACAAGTGCAAATGAGATTGCAGCTTCACAGACAATTCGCAATCAATTTTGGAAAGAATACTATCGTGCACAATACATTCTAAGGGGAAAAATGAATACAAATAAATGGCATGAATATTTAAAAGTATAAATGTAAGAAAATGAATTTATAGGCTAAAGCAACCAAATATGTATAAATATTAGGAAATGTTTACCTATTTCATTTTACTTGTAGAAAAGAATCATGGAAACAAAACTACTAAAAGTGAGCTAACACTGCATGATATACAGTATAATGCAAATTAAGAAAAAAGTAGCAAAATGTTGATATGTTCTTTCTACCCCAATATTATGAATAGCTAGCAAAATCTCCAGGGCTGTTAATATTTATCCAGGGTTTGATTGAATGAAAATCTGAATGACTGAATAAAATTGTTTTGCACATACACAAAATGAGCACACAATAGAGGCTCATACCATTATTAAATTGATATCTCTCTTCTTTCTAGTACAAGGGTCCCCACCCCCGGTCCACGAACCAGTACCGGGCAGCGGCATGCCAGCAACCAGTCCGCACAAACAAGCAAAGCCCCATCCGCGGGATGCAGGCAGCAAACAAAACCACGCCCCCTCTGGTCCATGGAAAAACCTCTCTCCGCATAACTGGTCCCTGGTGCCCAAAAGGTTGGGGACCTCTGTTCTAGTAGACACTTGGTGTCTTCAAAACTCCAAGCAATCCCTAGCTGTGACCTTTCTTCTGACTTAGTGATGCAGCTGGTTAATTTTAGACCTCATTTGGACATTATGTTTATTACTTGTGAATACATGGATAATAATAAAGGCAAGATATTACAATGGAGTTTGAACTGGACAATTGTGACACCCTTACCATCAATAAGGAAAAAATAGGGAAAAATCCTCCAAGCCGACAATATCAAGAACACTGAAGTCAAGAAGATTAGAAGGGAATACATCATGAGAGTGAAAAAGATATTAAAGTCCAAATTCAGTGGAGGAAATACCATCAAGGCAATTACTAGCCGGGCAATTCCAGTCAGTAGATACACTGCTAAAATAATGGACTCAGGCAGAACTAAAATCCCTGGATAGGAAGACCAGAAAAATAATGACAATTAACCATGCTGTTTCTCAGCAGTTTCACTAAAAATTATGGAGTCGAATGCATTCCATATTATCACATATGGAAAATTTTTAACTTGTTTGTTGGTTTTACTCAACTCACCAACCAATGTGTAGATTAAAGTCAGTAATTAAAAACTAGGATGAAGGACTCTTCATTTCTTACCTGGCTGATAGAAGTCTGGAGACAATTCCCTGGCCATCGACCTGGCTAACATGGATTCATTGTTAGCTGCTACTGCTGCTTGCTCTGCACCTTCTGACTTGGCTTTGGCGTGGGCAGTCCTGTGAACAGAATACCATTATGATATTTAGTATAGGAAGATGCAATAGAATGTGCCTACTATTCCTTCTGAAATGGTCATTCTAACATCAACAAGGACTATTCCATACTTCAAGAAATGCATTGATGGCCAATTACTTTTTCTAGATTATCTCATTTATTAACTTTAAAACTAAAATAATTGCTCCCAATACTTGTATTTTTTTTATCTCTAAAGACCTTTGCTACACGCTGTCTATCTTAACCTATTCTTGAATCAAAAACAAACAAACTACCATCTTTTCTGTCAATGTTCTATACACACTGGAGGATGTTATTTTTGTCTTCTTAATATGCACTTTCCAATTTTACTTTCCCCATGTACTCTTTTAAATCTTTATTTTCAGTTAACAAAGTATGTTGTTTATATACATGATTTCTTAAATTCCAATTTTTATTCCAGCTCTTATTTCTCCCTCTCCTACCATTCTTATAATGACTGCTTTGGAAATAACTTTAGTAAACAAAATAAGAATTAAAAAAAACAAGAGAGTAGTAAGGGACCTTGAAGGTTTTCTAGTCCTACCCCCTGCTCAGGTAAACAAATAAGTAAACAAGTACATTTTACAAACTTACAAACAAGTAAACAAATAAGAGCAATCCATAGTTCTTCTCACTACAAAATATATCTGAAGAATTATAAAATGTACGAAACGTAATGTAAGAAGAGTCTTAATAGAGCTGATCGTAGCCAATAAAATCTAGCATCCTGGGTCCATACTGACTAAAGTGATGCACCTGAGAAGTTCACGTAGGATTTGAGGCAATGACCCTTGCACTCTGTTACTTGAAGAACTTGGAGATAATATTTAGTCACCACAGCTAATTATTTGTTAAGGCCATCTTGCCTACATTTAGGCAAGAAAAACTAAATGCACAGGTACACTATAGGTGGTATCTTGCTCAATAGTATCAACTGTGAGAGGGATCTCAGAGTCCTAGTGGACAATCATTTAAATATGAGCCAGCAGTGTGCTGCAGCTGCCAAAAAGGCCAACACAGTGCTAGGCTGCATTAACAGAGGGATAGAATCAAGATCACGTGAAGTGTTAATACCACTTTACAATGCCTTGGTAAGGCCACACTTGGAATACTGCATCCAGTTTTGAACACCACAATGTAAAAAAGATATTGAGACTCTAGAAAGAGTACAGAGAAGAGCAACAAAGATGATTAGGGGACTGGAGGCTAAAGCATATAAGGAGCGGCTGCTGGAATTGGGTATGTCTCGTTTAATGAAGAGAAGGACGAGGGATAACATAATAGCAGTCTTCCAATATTTGAGGGGTTGCCACAAAGAAGAAAGAGTCAAGCTATTCTCAAAAGCACCTGAAGGTAGGACAAAAAGCAATGGATGGAATGGAAACTAATCAAAGAGGGAAGTAACCTAGAACTAAGGAAAAATTTCCTGACAGTTAGAACAATTAATCAGTGGAACAACCTGCCTCCAGAAGTTGTGAATGCTCCAACACCGGAAGTTTTAAAGAAGAGACTGAACAACCATTTGTCTGAAATGGTATAGGGTTTCCTGCCTGAGCAGGGGGTTGGACTAGAAGACCTCAAAGGTCCCTTCTAATTCTATTGTTGTTGTTATTATTATCACTTCTTGTGACAGTGAATTCCACAAGTTAACTTTACATTACCGGTATATGACAAAGTAAAACCTTCAAAAACATTTCTATGCCTACACCCCAATTAACGTTTTTTTAAAAAATAATCACATAGAACTGTATGCCAATGGCACCTCTATACCAAAAAGGCTTGATAACCAGCATGTTTTTTCATGATGCACAAATGCCAACATGCAGTCCATGTTTTTTGAACTGAAACAGAGAGATTTTTGGTTAACCCACTCAGAGATTCATAATATCCTTTGAAGGCAAGCCTGTGTGGAAATATTTCCAGCAAACTGGTGTCTTGTTCAAAGCACTCCATCTCCTTCAGTATTTGGAGACACTTAGCTGATGAGGTAGAAATTGGCAATTTTAAGCCTTGACAGTTCACAGAAGGCCTCCAAGAAGTTGTAAGTAGACAGAGCATCTCCTTTTTTGGAAGTGTATAATCAGTGTGATTAATTCCACTGTAAGCTGTGGGAGGCCTGGTGACATATTTATGTCTTTTTTGTGCTTAAAGAATTGGGGTTGGATGTAAAGTGCCCAGAATATGCAGCACAAGATAAAAAAAAATATATCTTGTGTTGCCTTTTATTTCTTCAAAGGAGAGCAGTAGAAATGAACAGAGCATGGCAAAATCAGTCACTAACCTAGAAACAACTGTGCAAAAAGCATATAGAATTTTAAACTTCTAAATACAAGTTCTACTAAATTCTGATTGCAAACTAAGAATACTTAGTGGTTAAGAGCCAGGAATGCAATTTTATTTTTCATTTTATTTTTATTAATGTATGCTTTTTGGCTTTGTAAATAATAACTAAGAATATAGGAAGCTTTTCAGCTATTGCTCTGTTCAGATCAGAATTGTGTTTACAGTTTATTCTGACAGCGGTTGTCCACCATTTCACAATGTTTTTCCCAGCCCTCCTGCTAAGAACCAAATTGGTAACTTTACATGCAGAGCTGCAGACCTATTCCCATTTCAAAGGTAGACTGCTAATTGTAAATTCCCAAATATGCAAGAAAAATACTCCATGTTACAACTTTACTGCAACTAATTTCTCTCATTTCACCTATCAAAAGGATGACAAAGTTAACATGACACACCATATTGTTGAAAAGCCACTACCTTTTATCAGATCAAATCTTAATCTTTTTAATCAGATCAGCAGAACCTAAAATATCACATACTGCCTTCATTAAATATGATCCCAGTGAAAATGCTGTGCCATGACTGTATGAATTCTGGAACAAAACTGTAGAACTTCCCTGTTCCCTTTACTTTCTTAAAGTAGCTATCATTGCCATATGCCATACGGAGAGTGTTGAGTAGCAATGAAATAAATTCATGCTGATTTGAAATGTCTTTGAAAACCTGAATGGTACAGAGATACTGTAGATGAGGAAATCAATAAATTTGGGTAAAAGTCTTTGGGAAACTCTAATCCAGGGGTGTCAAACTGCTGGTCCACGGGCCGGATGCGTCATGCCGAAACCGTGCCCACCCCATTACCAGCAATGGGAAAAAAGTAATCTGCTGCCTCAGATTACCTCCCACCGGCCGATACGCTCCCACAGAGAGGGTCTCCTCAGGGTGCCGTCAGCCAGACAGTGCCGGCTGGCGACCCCCAGGGGGAGGGCCTTCTCGGTGGGAGCCCCCACCCTTTGGAATGAACTCCCCCCAGAGATCCGGGTGATTCCGGATCTCCCCTCCTTCCGCCGCGCCCTCAAGA